AAGACAGTAAATACTTCAGATTTTTTAATTCATGAAGCAAAATTGAGGATATTATATGGGTACTTAAAAATGAAAAAATGTTTTAATAACATTATACTGATGACACTTACCGTATTAACTAGGCACAGTAGTGGGTGACTGTAATGCCAGCACTTGGGGGGCTGAGACAGGAATTTTCAAGTTTAAGCCCAACCTGTGTCTCAGAATAAAGCATTAAAGGGCTGAGAATATAGGTCAGTGCAGAGGCCCTGGGTTTAACCTGGTATCATTTAAAGAAAAAAAAAATGAATAAATAGTAAGTTTTTGTAGTTCAGGTCTGCTATCAAGAATAACAGGATCCTTCTTTGTGGGATATCATTTGTTTAATAAGGGTTCAGAGTTACCTAGGGGTTCTAGGTCAGTGAAATTACTATGGTTTATTATTATTTTATGGATTATTATGGTTTATCTGTTATTAATACTGATAGGTGATGAAGTTTTATTTTAACTCTAAAATGTCCTCACAGCAGATAGGCACGGCCAGATGCTGCTGTGAGCTCACAGCATGTGGTTTTAGTTGAACACACTCATTGCCTGGCAGAACCTTATGGAACGTTACTAGAGTCTTGATTTGTCGTAGGAGAAGCTCTTCATAGCACAGCCACGTGGGTCTTGAAATGGCAGTTCCCTTGGAACTTGCATTTACGTCTGCACCATTGGGAGTAGAGTGTGAGCATGAGAAGTTCAGCTGCTGGAGTCCTGTAGGGATGATGGAGGTCTTGCTTATGCTTTAACTTTGAAAAACATGACAGAACTGAGCATCATTAGTAATGTCCATCATCTCATCAAGAACCAAGGAGAGGGGCCGGGGAGATGGCTCAGTAGCATAAGCACTTCCCTGGCAAGCGCAAAGGCCTGTGTTCAATCCCTGGTTCCGCAAAAAAAAAAAAAAAAAAAAAGAACCAAAGAGAATGATTGAAAATTTTATCTTTTTAAAAAATTACCTGTTCCTAGGACTGGTGAGAGCTCAGGGAACTAAGCACTTGCTTAGGTAAGCGCAGGGGCCAGGGTTCAATCCCTGGTACCTCATGCTGTGCTGGCCCCGCCCCTGGGTGCCCTGAGCTGGCATGGAGTCTGTGTGTGGTGGTGCATGCCTGTAATCCCAGCACTAGGGAGGCAAAAACAGGAGGATCACTATGAGTCTGAGCTTCATACTGGGACCCTGTGCGTGCATACACACACACACACACACACACACACACACACACACAGAATTACCTGTTCCCCTTCATGGTAGTAGATGCCTATAATCCCAGCAACTGGAGAGGCTAAGAAAGAGAATGGCAAATTCGAGGCCTAGCCAATTGAGCAAGACCCTGACTCAAAATTTAAAAAGTGCCAAGGATAGAGCTCAGTGGTAGAGCACTTGCCTAGCATGCATGAGGCCCTACGTTCAATCCCATTACCACTTTAAAAAAACAAGTCTGTTGAAGTTTTTCCAATTTCTTCTTTGGCCAAGTGTCTTAAATACCTTCGTTTTCTCTGAATTATGTCTTCCACTGCTACAGTTAAATACTATGTAGCTAAGTCACTCTCAGCTTTTCTTTGACTAGCTATATTAGTTGATACATTGTGTCAACGTAAGACGTTTAGAAGTTTAACTCAGCAGGAAGCCAGGATTCTTGTGTAAACATCCTCATCCAGTGCAAGAGGAGGACTTGGACATTGTTCTACACCCCTGGCCCCAGGGCAGAGATGCTGGCTAGAAGCCACAACTGCTACCTTCCCTTTGCTCTTTGCTGCCTTGACCTGCTGCTCTCTGCCATGTGCTGCTCTGTCTAGAAGCCAGCCGCGTATAGACTAAAACCTCCACACTGTGAGCTAAGCAAACCTTTCCTTCCTTAATTTTAGGTGTCAGGTATTTTGTCCCAGCAACAAATACAAAGTACTGAGACACTAGCTAAAAGCCAACCACTCAAAAACTTACTTTATATAGCTTTGTTTCCATTTTTAATTTCTGTGAAATTTGTGATGAGATAACATTTTAAATTTTCTAATTTTTCTACTTTGTGTGTTAGAAATGTGATGAATACTAAATATTATAGTATCAGCATACACTTTGTTGGAGTACTGTATTATTATTATTATTATTAATTATTTTGTATTTTTAGGGAAGGGCCTACTGGGTGTTCAGAGTCTCACTACTAGATTGGACTCATAGTGATCTGCCTATTTACAGCCTCCCAAGAGCTGGGATTACAGGCGCGCGCCACCATGTCCAGTCTCTGCGTTATTATTATATAACTGTAATACTTTAGTGTCTGATTTGACACTAAAATAACTCATACTTCACTCCAGAAGACTGAGAACCCACACAAGAAGACTTAGCTTTTTCCAGATATTGAATACAATTTCTTTGTGTAATAGCTTTCTTTTGGGGGGGGGGCAGAACCGGGGATTGAACTCAGGCCCTTGTGCTTGCCAGGCAAGTGCTTATTCTACTAAGCCATCTCCCCAGCCTGAGTAATAGCTTTCTGGGTTTTGTTTTTGTTTTTAATTTTTCCTCCCCTAGAGGAAATTCCTGGTTGATTTTGTTACAGTGAGGGTGGGGCAGAGAGAATTTGTTGTGATAGCGTGGTCAGTTTTTATGCATAGTATTGTTTCACTTAGGCCCTCCTAAGTCAGCAGCCTCCGGAGCCACTTTGTTTTTGTGGGAAATGTTGTTTAACTCTCAAATCACTGATGGATATTCCTCAGGTTCTGTATACACACATGCACACATGCACGCATGTCCTCATACATGCAGGCTCTTTACATAGTAGTATGTAAGGCAAGAAAATCTTTCACTTGAAAGAAATTTGTACTATTTTATTAAACTCCTCTACAAAAGGAAAAAGAGGCTATAACATGTACTAAGTTTAGTGTACAAAGAAGAGCAAACTGGGAGCAGGGAGAGAGCCTGGCGGTCTGAGCGCCTGCCTGGCAAGCGCGAAGATCCGGGTTCAACCCTCAGTACTGCATCTGCGCAGGCCTCTAAACCAGACATGGTGGCCCACACCTGTAATCCCAGCAGTGGAGAGGCTGAGACAGGAGAATCACTGTGTTAGCTGTGTAGTAAGACAATATCCACCAGTGATTTGAGAGTTAAACAACATTTCCCACAAAACCAAAGTGGCTCCGGAGGCTGCTGACTTAGGCGCGCAGTGAGCAACGCAGCCACACGTGAAACAATACTATGCATAAAAACTGACGACGCTGTTACAACAAATTCTCTCTGCCCCACCCTCACTGTAACAAAATCAGCCAGGAATTTCCTCTAGGGGAGGAAAAATTAAAAACAAAAACAAAACCCAGAAAGCTATTACTGTACCAAATAAATCAAAAGATTAAAAATATTAAAAAGAGCAAACTTACAGCTAGCTAAATGAAAAAATATTCAGTTGATTTTATTTTGTGTAGTCCAGTGCCCTCTGAAGCACATGATTAGTAAAGTTCACCTCTACTACATACTAAAACAGCATAATTGATGAGTGTCCTGGTTTTATTAATGTTGCCCCATCTCTCGCTGCTTTAGTCAGTGTGGATCAGACATGTTACTATCTGAGGCAAAGGAATCTGCCTCAGTATTCAAGACCTGTGTGTCTTGTGCAGGTGAGGGCACGTAGTCGCTCATCTGGATTACTGTACTATTTTGGGTCATATCCAGTGAACTGAATTCTGTATCTATGTTTAAGCCAAACTTCATGGGAGCTGGTGCATTCTGAATGTGATAGAGCACTTGCTAGGATAGCTCAGCAGGAGGGGACTTAGCTGGGTCCCAGCACTGAAAAACAAGTAACTGTAACATCAACTTGATTTCAGTGAGCAGGGCTTTCCTTGTCATTATTACTGACACAACTGCGGTGTCAGGAAAAGAAGTTGGCTCTGATGAGAGCAGTGATATCAAAGTGTAAATGACGAAAGTGCAAGTCACCTCCCAGCTGGGCTAACAGTTTACTTGGTGCTTTAGGAAATGATGAAATATTGAATCAGAATTCTTTTTTTTTTTTTTTTTTTATTTTGGACAATTTTTATTGGTATATTCATTTAAGTATGTGAATAGTTTATTTACAATGTGCAGTCTATTATTTTTTTGGGTTTTTTGCAATTTTTTTTTCAACAAATAATACACTGCATATATTCTTCTTAGTGGTTAATTGCTGTACAAGATGCGGACTTGTGATCCTATTTACAAACACCATTAGAACAAATCATTCTATTCATTAACAGAATGTAACTATATATCTATCCCAACCACTTTGAATACACAGATACAAAATGGACATTCATCTGTATTCCCCATTTTTCTAAGTTCCGTTATTGAATATTATAAAAAGGTCGTTTCTACCACACAAGTACACTTTAATAGAGTACAGATGATGCACCTTTGGATGCCTTTTTTTTTTTTTTTTTTTTTTTTTTTTTTTTTTTTTTTGCGGAACCGGGGATTGAACTCTGGCCCTTGCGCTTGCCAGGGAAGCGCTTATTCCACTGAGCCATCTCCCTGGCCCCAGAATTCTTAAAAGTACCATCAGTGCAAAGAAAGAAACAGTGTGAAAACTGGGTCCTGTACTCCCTCTTATCAATTAAGATTTGGGGGTCTAAACTTCATTCAGTGAAATGCATACAGCTTACAAATTTAGGATCTTCTTTCAAATTATCCTTAACTATGAGTATGTCATACTAGTTTGTATGGTTTTAATTCTGGAAATTTTCAAATACTTAAGAATGGAGAGAGATGGGGGCCGGGGAGATGGCTCAGTGGAATAAGTGCTTCCCTGGCAAGCACAAGGGCCTGAGTTCAATCCCTGGCTCCGCAAAAAAAAAAAAAAAAAAAAAAGATTGGAGAGAATAGTATGTGAAATTCATGTGCCAGTCACCTACCTGCAACAGTGATCAATGCATGTCCTGTCTTGTTTTTTTCCGAAAATCAGGCTGTTTTGAATGTAAGTTTTTTAAATCAAAATTTAATTTTTATCCAGGTTAGGCACCTTGGGAACTGTGCAACATCATCAAAGAGTTTGCCCTATAGAAAATCAAGAAGTAAAGATTATGAGTCATATAGTGATAATGATACCTGCAGTCAGGAGCCAGAAAATAATTTTGAGAAAGAACTCCAGAAGTACATACGAGCTAAAGAAATGGCAAATGCTGCGCAATCCCTACTGTCTTCTAAAGAATCTGTGAAGAAAAAAGAAGTAAAAGATACTAAGCCAGGTAAGTATGGAACCGTTACGCCATTTATAGTGTGTTTAGAGACACAGTCACAGCTTTGACTCTGGTATTTCATCTTCTGACCGGAGCTTGATTTCCAGGGGCCTTTGCACGAGATATATGCTTGCATGGCCCAGGACCCCAGGGGACCTGCTTGGTGTTTGTAGGAGGAGCCGGGGGTGTAGGTGGATTGTCAGGGCCTTGGCTCCACCTCAGAAAGAATGCTACAGCCATGGCCTCTCCCTGCCAGAGGTGGGATGTGCCCGTTTGCACTGCTGTCATTTAAAGAATTCTCTAAAATGGTTGTATGTCAGACTGTAACTTAGAAATATATTTTAGGGCCGGGGAGATAGCTCAGTAGAATAAGTGCTTGCCTGGCAAACACAAAGTCCTGAGTTCATTCCCCTGTACTTCAAAAAAAAGAAATATATTTTATTTTATTTTTTTTTTAAAGTTTTATTTATTTTTATTTATTACATTTATTTATTGTGTGTGTGTGTGGCCAGCTCAGCCCACCAGGGGGCGGGGCTGGCTGGCATGTGGTGCTGGGGGATCGAACCGCGGTCCCTGTGCTTTGCCAAGCTTGCTTCAAGTAGGTGCTTTAGACCACTGAGCTATCTCTCCAGCCAAGAAATATATTTTAGATTAATAAAGTAAGATTTGGTCATAGATAGGAGGCTAAATGGCTATTGTAATAAAATGATTTTTTTTTCTTTTTTTATGGTTCTGGACAGTGAACCCAGGTACTCTGCTACTGAGGTATACCTCTGCCCTTTTTAAAATTATGAAATAAGTGTGGTGATGCACACCTATAATCCCAGACTCAGTAAGCTGTTGCAGGAGGATTGCCATAAGTTTGAGGCCAGCCTTGGCTACATAGTGAGTTCAAGGGCAGCCTGAACTATATGGTGAGACCTTATCTCAAAAAAACAAACAGGGGCCGGGGAGATGGCTCAGTGGTATAAGCACTTCCCTAGCAAGCGCAAGGTTCTGAGTTCAATCCCAAGTTCTGCCAAAAACAAACAAACCAAAAATTATGAGTGAATTGCACTAAGTTGTCCAGGCTAGCCTTGAACCTGGGATCCTCCTGTCGTAGTCTCTTGAGTTTTTGGGATTTCAGGTGTGTACCACCATGCCACGCAGCAAATTAAATTCTTAAGGCAAGACCCTGTACCAAATAAATAAATAAAAGACTAAATATATTGAAAAGAGCAAACTGAAGCAGTGAGTTTACAGCTAGCTAAATGAAAAAATATGCAGTTGTTTTTTTGTTTTTGCTGAACCTGGGATTGAACTCAGGCCCTTGCGCTTGCCAGGGAAGCGCCTATTCCACTGAGCCATCTCCCCGGCCCTCAGTTTATTTTGTGTAGTAGTAATATTCACCTCTACTACATAGTAAAACAACATAAGTGACGATTGTCCTGGTTTTATTAATCTTCTTGTTCCTTTTTATTTGTTGCTGGGACAATAACAACAAAAAGAAATATGCTTGCTTTTTACTGTGTTTTTTCTCCCCTCAAGTATTTCTTGTATTCAAAATGTATCTGTACATAAACAATATGTACCAAATACTTTAAACGAAAGGTTTGACTATAATATGTGAAGTCATTTTAAACACTTCCAAGTTTTTTCTTTCGTGAAACTGTGGTAATTCCTAATTAAAACCATCATACTTAAAAAGAACCTGCTTGTAGCTTACAAAATTGATTTTCTTCCTCCTCTCCCACCCCAACAATACCTTATATATTTTCAAAAAGAATGAATTGGTAGCTGGGCATGGTGTCACACACCTGTAATCCCAGCACTTGGGAGGCTGAGGCAGGAGGATCCTTATGAGTTCAAGATCAGCATGGGCTACAAAGTGAGTTCAAGGCCAGCCTGAATTGCATAGCGAGACCCTGTCTCAAAAAAGGAAAAAGAATGAATTGGTAATTCAGATATGTTATAATTCTCTTTGGTCTCCTTAAGGCTTCTAGACAAACAAGCCAGTTACTCGTTTTTCCTTACTGGGCTGTGTGAACACTTCCTAAATTAATAAAGATGTACTTCTTAAGAAGAAACTGATATTATGCTTTGGTACCATATTTTTAGCTTTTAAACCGAAAAATAAAAACCATAAACCCTGTCATAAGAATGGTAAACAGAAGAAAGTGAAACAGAAACAGGCTGGCAACAGAGACAGAGGACCAGATGCCTTAGTGAAGAGGAACGGTCCCCAGGATGCGGTACGGTGACAACGCTTGCAGGCACTCAGGATGGGAATCTTCTGGACTCTGCTTTTTGGGGGGCTTTTAATGGGATGGCAAGCATTTTAGTAGGCTTGATCAGAGAGGCTGCAAGTAGGGAGGGTCAGATATTAAAAATACAGGAGTTATAGATTGATCATAGTCATACAAAATGTCCTCCCCAGCATGCAAATGAGTCCTGAGCTCTAGGGTTCAGACACTGGCCCGCACTTATATGGGACCTGCTAGCTGTTAATTTTGATTCCTACTTCCTGATCACTTTCCCTTTTGTTATTCAGCCAAAGTTAACAGCCCTGTGACATGAACAAACTGTCATATGTTAGAATTTAGTAACATAGTCAATTCAAACCAAAGATTCAAGCCAAGACATACAGTATTAATAAGATGTAGTTTTGGTGGTCTTATTAATGAGCAAGTTGACATTATTGCAGAACAGGTCGTCCAGGGCTCCTGCACGGCAGCTCCTGTAGTTCACATGCCACATCCCTTAAACTGTAGCTATTTATTCAGTGTACAGAAGCTGTGAACTGCACCACAAGTTAGTACATGAAAATAGCTTATGTTTCTGAAGAGCTGAAAAGGATTTTAAAATTCTCTTTTGGATTTTATATAAAAATCTTTTTATGCCTTTCTTGCCATCTTTAAAGGGTGTATTTCTAGTTACAACTGTTGATTTGAGCCAGTCAGCATGGTTAGCTCAGACCCAAAGAACGTCTTGAAACTAGAGATTTCGCAGCTCTTTGTTCAGCCTATCATGACTAGCTTTGTCTTCATTATTCTAAAGATGTTTTTCCTTAGATTTCTTATTATGTGTACTGGTACTTTCATTGTTAATCATTGTTACTCATTTTTTAATAAAATAAGGGCAGAGTTTAATGAAATAATATGTTTGTTTGTTTATTTGTTTGTTTGTTTATGGCTGGCTCAGCTCACCCTGGTGCCAGGGATTGAACTGCAGTCCCCATGCTTGCCTAAACTTGCCTAAGCAGGCGCTTTAGACCCCTGAGCTATCTTGCTGGCCCTTAATGAGATATTTAAATTGAACAAATGATACTGTTCAATGATGGATTGCTGCTGAAACTGAGAGAAAAGAAGAAGAAACTGAGAAAAACTTTAAATTGGCATACAACAGTCCAGGTCTTAAGTAGTAAAAGGTGGTTTAAAATAACTTTGTTCGGGGCCAGGGAGATGGCTCAATAGAATAAGTGCTTGCCTGGCAAGCGCAAGCACCTGAGTTCAATCCCTGGTTCTGCCAAAAACAAAAACCACAAAAAACAAATAAAATAACTTTGTTCAACAGAATGAAATGTTTAATTTTCTCTTTGTCACTTTGGTTTGTTTTTGTTTCTGAAGGATGGTGAGGCTAAGGAGAAGCAACAGCACGTGAGAATGAGTCAGGGATTCATCAACCAGCACACAGTGGAACGCAAGGGAAAGAAAGTTTGCAAGTATTTTCTCGAAAGGAAATGTATTAAGGTATAAAAATGTGTAAGCAAAAATGCCAAAACAAACTGCTGTTCCTATTTGACACTCTTTAACATATGTGGAGGTTGTTAGAACTCCTAGAAAAGGTTCTGTCAGATAATTTTAATGAAAAACCTATGTTTAAAAAAGTACATCATTTTTAAAAAATGCTTTGTGGCAGATGTGTTTAGTACTTAAGAAAATTTTAAGCAGTTATATAATGTGATTATAACACAGTCCCTAAGTAAACCAAATTGCTCCTAAGATTTACTTTCATTCATATTGCTTTTATTCTTTCTGGAATCATTTGCCTGATAAAGTTTGTAGGTCTTTTAATGTCTTTAACTGTAAGCAGTAATGCCTTGCTTTTGTTCTTTCTGTTGACCAGGGAGACCAGTGTAAGTTTGATCATGATACAGAGATGGAAAAGAAACAGGAAATGTGCAAGTTTTATGTGCAGGGATATTGTACCCGAGGGGAAGACTGCCTGTATTTGCATAATAACCTTTATTGTAAGATATAATAGCTTAAGTTTTCCTAGGTACCTACATGAACATTTAAAGGCAAAAATTTAATGAAACCAGAATTGGAGCTATAGCAAAATTATACTAAGCTCAATTTAGTATCAAAGTGATCGAGTTATGCATAGATTTTTTTTTTTTTTTCCACAAAAAGAGAACAATAGTCCTTTAGAAAGATCTCTCAGATAAAGATCCTTTCTGTCCAGTGCTGGTGGTGTAGTGGGGTTTGTGAGGCCTAGTTAAGTTCAAGAAAAATATTGTCAGAATTTTTGCAGTGACACCAACTGAATCTATATTTGTAAAATCTACCTCATAAAAAAGGCAAGGATTGTATAATTTGGGAGTACAGTGCTTGCTTTCTGTTTATTATAAATTGTATAGATGTTGTCTTTAATTTGAAGGCCGGCCAAATAGCTCAGCAGATTAAAGCACCTACAAGCAGCCTCAGGGACCAGGGATTTGATCCCCGGTCCTGCTGTGGTGGCGCGCGCCTGTAATCCCAGCTCTTGGGAGGCTGTAAACAGGAGGAGCACTATGAGTCTGATCTGGTAGTGAGACCCTGAACACCCTGTAGGCCCTTCCCTAAAATACAGAAAGAAAAAAAAAAAGAGGAAGAAGGAGGTAGGTAAGCTTAGCTCTTTGGTGCAGATGGCACGAACACATGGTGAAGATGTGGGCTGTAAATGGTAAGGGTAGTGGTGCCTTTGGTGAGCACGAGAGTTGTGCTTCTTCAATCATTCCAATAGTGGAAATTCTGACTTGAGGACTCCCTGAACAACAGTATTATCATTGTATAAATAACTAGATTGTAGACAAGCCTATTATATAAAGGACCTGTATTTATAAGATTATCCTTGTCATTGATTTTGGTTTCTCCCAATGCAAAGAATGCTTTAAAATAATCACATTTCTCCAGGTACTTAAAACAGATATTCCTCTTATACATCAGTGAAATGTACCCGTCCTAGAAGAACAGATATGAAGAAAGAAGTCTCTTACAGTAGTCACTAAATTTGCTTCATATAATCTCTCTAAAATTAGATTTTTTTTAAAACCAGATGTCATGGTATCGGCCTATAATGGCAGCACTTAAGAGGCTGGGGCAGGTGCATTGCAAGTTTGAGTCATACCTGGTCAGCTTAGTGTGACTTGTCTCAAAAAAAGAAGAGTTGGAAATACAGGCAATGTGAAGGCCTGTGTTCAATCCCTGCTTCCATAAAAAAATTTCAAAAAATTTTTAAATTAGAATTTTCATGTAACCAAATTATTATTAATTTATTATCTCATACTTCAAGCAGAGAATTCCAGCTTGGCGTGGTGCTGCACGCCTGAAACCTCCCTTCCCTCAAGCTGAGGCAGGAGCATTGTCATCCTGGGCGCATAGTGAGTTCAAGGCTAGCTGAACTGTATAACGAGACCCTGTCTTTAAAAAAAAACTAAAAATAAAAAATAGAGAATTTAGTGTTTCTCCTAGTGAGACAGATACTTGCATAGCAAAAATATAGTTATGATGTTAAACTAATGGCAAACTCTTTAGTTGGATTAAGGTTGTTCTCTTCCTTAACCTTTGCGCTACATGAGTACCCTTGCAAGTTCTATCACACGGGGGCAAAATGTTACCAGGGAGAGCACTGCAGGTTTTCACACGCTCCCCTCACGGCTGAAACGCAAGAGCTGTTGGCTAAAGTAAGTACACTTGTCATAATCTTTTAAGTGTTTTCTTTTCAAAAATGATGAAAATTGAAAAGATAACCACTCTTTAGGGAGAGTTCTCATAGGTTTGAATGTGGGATGTATTAGCACTGGTGCTCTAAGAATTTGCCTAATAATATTAATACATTTGGAAAATTACTTTTATTTGCTTATTTTTTATGTACTTGAAAGATTTTTTTCTTCTCTGATAGCATAAATTGAGATAGTCTTATGTAGCTAGCAACTTATATAGCTTAGTTAAACAAAGAAAAACAAAGAAAAGCAGGAAAAGAGTTTTGCTATAAAGATTCTTAGTGTAACTCCAGCAGTCTGGAGGCTGAGTCAGGAGGATCGTTGCAAGATCGAGACCAGCCTGGGCTACAAAGTAAGCTCAAGGCTAGCCTGAACTGTATAGTGAGACCCTGTGTCTGTCTGTCTGTCTGTCTGTCTCTCTCGCTTGCTCGCTCGCTCGCTCTCTTTCTCTTTCTCCCTCCCTGTTCACCCCCTTCCCCTCTCCCCCTCTCCCCCTCTGCCCGTCTCCTTCTCTCCCTCTCTCCCACTCTCCCTTGCAAGAAAAGTTAAAAGTCATGTGGCCATAACTGTTTTAGGGTTACATGACAGAATAAGCAAGTAGTGCTTTCAGAGTGTTTTCTCAAGTATTCTTTGGTCTATGAGGAAAGAGTATTGAAACACCATGCTCAGTTATACTCTTTCATGTCTCATATGTCATTTGGAGTTATTCTCTTCAAAGGTAAAGTAAAATATGTGAAGATCCAAGATTTTTTAAAAACTAGTCCTCTGGAGCCTGAGGCAGGAGGATCACTGACAGCTTGGGGCCAACTTAGGTACAGAGTAAGTTCGAGGCTACCTGACCCCATAGTGAGATTCAAAAAGAGCGAAACAAAACAAAAAACCTGATGATCATCTCTTGTGGCAGAAGTTCCCTTTAGCGTCTATAAATGTTAGAGTCAAAGTTACTTATTTCTTGCTGTCTTTATGTTGTAAAATATGGAAACATAAGGTTACTGTGGAACCAGAGCTTATACCAAATATTTATTTATATAAAATATATGTGGAATGGTAGACGTAAATTTTTTATTTCCTTCTATAGATGATTAGGATGGATGTTATTGGAATCTTTTGGAAAATATAAGAATATAACAGCACCGAATTAGATATCAATGCATAAAATGGTCATGTGATTTTTTTTCTTTATATAATTAGGTTTTGGATACTGAAAAGAAGACATGTAAATAAAATAGACTAAAAAAGGTAAAGTAGACTATATTACATTTCTTATTTTCTAAAACCTCTAGACATCTGTAGAGTAAGCTCAATGAGACACTTTATTTTCTCAACTAGAGATATTTTTCTCCTGTTATGGTTTGTGTGTAGTGTCCCCTCAGAGTCATGGGGCGGCTCCCAGTTGTGGGTGTGGATGCTGTGCCTGCCCTGGGGCCGGCAATTTGCATTACAATGTAAGGAGGGGAGAGAGGCCGGTGGCTGGGGCTGTGCTCCTATCTGTTTGCCTTGTGCTGCTCTCCTTGGAGCCGGCTGAGTGTGGACTGAAACCTCCAGTAACTGTGAGCTAAATAAACCTTTCCTTCCTTCATGTTGGGTGTCAGGTATTTGTCCCAGCAACGAGAGAAGAGTAACTGAGACACCTTCATCCCCCACTAACAAAATTATAAAACTAATTAACACACACACACACACACATATATATATATATAGATATGTGATCTCCATGGGCCTTCTTCTTTATCGGACTTTGTTTGTATTTTTATTGTGTTTCTTTGTATGTTTATTAAATATATAGAATTCAAGTAATATGTTTAGTTTTGCTTATGTTTTGTTTTTTCACCTGTCCCTTGATTTTATTTGCTTAAGTTAAAAATACCTTTAAATTGGTGGCTTGCTAATTTCACTCAGCATTATGCTGCTAAAATCCTTTTATGGCTGGGAATATAGCTCATCAGCATAGTGCCCGCTGGCACGTGAGGTAGTAAGTTCAATTCCCAGTACCAAAAAAAGAAAAAATCCTTTTATGTAGATGTATCTGTCATCTGTTCTTTTTTTTCCGGAACTGGGGATTGAACTCAGGGATCCATTCATTTTTACTGCTGTGTAGCATCTACAGATATATTATAATTTAGATATACTTTTGAAGGCCATTTAGATTATTTTTAATGTTAAATCCAAAACATTATAAATATTCATCTATATTCTCTTTGAATAAATGTGGTCAAGTTATGAAAGTATATGCCAAAGAGTAGAATTGTGTAAGTTTAAAGATACTTTTTTAAAAGTATAGTTGTTATATGCCTGTACACATACAGAATTTCTCTTATTTTGTGATTGCTAGTTTGTTTGTTTGTTTGTTTGTTTGTTTTTACCAATTTTTTATTTGTAAAAATGGTTTTCATAGCTTTCTTTACATAAAATACAAAACTTAGGGTTACTGGGCTTTCCAGTTTTTATCTTAGCAAATGGCTATAACTATGGTTTGCCATGTTTCTCTTGGCCCAGTTACCCTTTTTACATTGGTTTTTGTATATTTTTAACATAATCCCTTGTGAAGAGTGTAGGAGAGATTTCGTAGGCTCTTTCACTTTTTTTTTCAATGTATTTTGGACAGGTTCTTCAGAGTCTCACTATGTAGATTGGACTTGTAGTCATTCTCCTATTTTCAGCCTCCCAAGTGCTGGGATTACAGGCATGCACCACCCCCCCCAGTCTCAATCACTGTCTCAGCGCAGGCCAACACAGAGGCTGGGGATCGAACCCCTGGCCCCTGCGTCTGCCTAAGCAGGCACTTTAATCTGCTGAACTATCTGGCTGGCCCTTTTTCACTTCTTTTGAGGCATTTCAGCAGAATTATTCATTTTGATAATCTTTTTGTTTATGGTTGCTTTAATTTCTACTCTGAGAAATCCTTCCCTATTATGAGGTGATAAATTAGTTGACCATTTTTTAAAATTTTGGGATTCCATTTTATATGTTTATACTTGGTCCATTGCAGATGTTACCAGGTAACAGTTGCCACAGTCGAGGTGCTTACCAGCTAACACACAGCTGTCCGTCGCATATACCAGAAAGCATCTTTTGCATCTGCAGATGGCTGGAAATCTAGGGTGGCCAAGGCTGGCTTGGCTGTGCTCCATGCAGCAGGTCTGCTGGGACGATTCTTGCTTGCCTGATGTTGGTCTCTTCCTGGGACCTGTGGACTAGCCGAGGCATGTTCTTCTATTCCCACTGGGAGAGCCCCAAGAGGGCAAAATCATGTTTGCACCACATTGGCCAGAGTATCACATGGCCCAGCCCACAGCCAAGAGTTGAGAGATAGTCTAGCTTTTGTACCTTACATGGGGGAGGAGGCACAGATTATATACGAGAATAGGTATGGCTGCAACTGGAGGGATAAAGAAAGAAGTAAGACTAATGGGTTTCTCCTTAATTCTGTGACATAAGAAACTTGTACTCTTCCTTTTCTTCTGCCCCACCCCCCACAGGGATAATCAGTCTTCCAAGCATCATTTGATTAACAAAACTCCTCTTTCCCCACTGACCAATTGTGTCCCGTCTGACACGCAGCAAGTTCTATTGAGCAAAGGTCTGTTTCTTCGATCTCTCTCTTTCTGATAGTGTACTGCCATTATTCGTCATTTTGATTGTATCTTTTCTAGTAGAGGTGAAATGGCATTTCCATGTAGTCGTACTTGCATTTTCTTAGAAGTGACTCAGAATGTTGAAGCATCTTCCTGTGCTCACCGCCACGAGTCAGTTCAGCGCACTCATACTGTGCAGCCATCACCAGGGGCCCTCTTGCAAGCGTTTTTATCTTCAGAGCTGAAGCTCTGTATCCACTGAACAGTGCCTCATTCTACCTTGTCCCTAACTCCCAAGGCGCCGTCAGCCTACTTTCTGTCTCTGTGAGTCTGTTCTGGGTATCTCCCGTAAGTGGTATCAGGCAGCATGTGTCTTTCTTGACTGATTTATCCACTTACCGTACTGTCTTCAAGATTCATCTACAGTGTAGCATGTCAGAATTCCCTTTGGCTGAGTAGTATTCATTGTACGTAGGTGATACTTCTTGCTTATTCAGTCATTCATCTGTCAGTGGACCTTGGTGTGCTTCCATGTTTTAACTATTGTGCTGCTGAGAAGAGAGATATATAATTACCTCTTTAAAATCCTGCTTTGTTCTCTTGGGTAGATGTCCCAAAGTGGAATTAGTATATCATGTGGTTATTCTGTTGTTGATTCCTTAAGGAACCATCATGCTGTTTTTCTACAGTAACTGTCTGACCAGTGGTGCCAGGGGTTCTAATTTCACAATTTTAATTTGTTTGTCTTAGTTGACACCTAGTGCTAGCAGTCATTTTACTGGGTGTGAGGTACTAGCTCACTGTGGTTTTGGATTGTGTGTACTGAGCTGAGCAAGGTATTTCCACGTGCTCATTACCCATCATCTTTGGGAAGATGTCTGTTCAGGTCCTTTGCCACGTACTTTAATTGTTTTTGTTTCTGTTTTAGTTCTAGATGTTCTTTATTTGCTGTGGATTTTAACCACTTATGAGATTATGTAATTTGCAGATATTTGTTCTGTCAGTTGGTTTTTCACTATGTTGATAATGTCCTTTGATGACAAAAGGTTTCTTCAAGTTTTAAGAAGTCCAGTTTTGCTGGATGTGGTGGCGCATGCCTATAATCCCAGCACTTGCGAGGATGCGACAGGATCATTTTGACTTCAGGGCCAGCTGCAGTGAACTATTTGTTCTTTTTCAAAATCATTTTGATTATTCGGGATCACTTAAGATTACATATGAATTTTTAAGGGATTTTTCTATTTTTGTAAACATGATTTTGATGTGAATTGCACTGAATGTACAGATTTCTTTGTGTAATTGCCTTCATAACTATGAACTTTAAATTTTTTTTTTTTTTAATTTTTTTGCAGAACTAGGGATTGAACTCAGGCTCTTGCGCTTGGCAGGGAAGCGCTTATTCCACTGAGCCATCTCCCCAGCCCCAAAGGATTTGTTTTTTTTTTCTCCGAATGCCTTCAGGGCAGGTTTGGCTGGCATGAGTTGTGGGGATTGAACCACAGCAGCCTGATCCTGACTGCTTTGTTGAAGCAGCCACTTAAAGAACTGAGCTAAGGGGCAGGCCCCCTTCATAACTATGAACTTTTGACGCTAGCATAGACTTTTAATTATTTTCTTACTATACTACTGAATGAGCTATTTTTCTTTATTTCTGGGGCAGTCAAGTCTTATTTCATTATATCCAATTTTTGTTCCATTCCCAAAGAAGAATTAATTCATTTTAGATTTTTGTGTTTTTTTCTGCAGTGTAATTTTTGAGGATTAGAGATGTAGTGGGGGGAGCTAAATTGGTGATTTTCACAGCCTAATGCGTTTATTCTTCTCTTCTGTAGCTTTGTATAGATGAAGAGTGGTTATGCCGCTCCTGTTCCAGATTGGTGGTTTGGAGTCACTCACAGGAGGCCTCCCTTGGAGCACCCTCTGGCACCAGCGTATGCAGCTCTTCTGCTGATGGCACAGCGCACTGTGAAGGAAGAGTGTCTTCGCTCGGTGCTCCTGCCCTTGGGACCGGAGAGGAGGGCTGCTCTGACTTGCCGGCTGTGGGATCATGTGGCAGCACATTGTAGGTGTGCTTTCTGTTTGACTAAGATTTCTCAATAAAAAAGGCTAAGTTAGTCTATATAAGAATGAGTAAGAAGTGGAGAAAATAGAAGTTAGATCTCCACATACTTTGGCAAAATATTTTTAATGATGGGTCACAGTTCCATTTTGAAGCTTAAAATTTATGCTTCTGTGATTTTTTTAAAAACAAGTCTACTATCAGACATTCATTTCCAGTTTCTTACTATTAAAAATAAAGTAATATGACCCTTTGAACTTGGTGTTCTTAACTGTTTGTTCTGTTAAAATAATAACAAGAATACAGTGTTTATCTTTCTCATTGATTCATAAATATAACCAGACTATGCGCTTGCATGCAGCATAAACTTGAAGAGCGTGATGTCTATACACACACAAATACAAAACTTTCCAAATATACATAAGATTCTAAATATGCATTACTGCAGATAATTATCAGGCAGACCATGCAACTAAAGCCATAAATATCATACTATTCTATTGCTGGGGACAATATGGCATCACTGGGGCTGGTGAGATGGCTCAGTGGTCTAAAGCACCTACTTAGAACAAGCTTAGCAAAGCACAGGGACCGCGGTTCAATCCCCCAGCACCACATGCCAGCCAGCCCCGCCCCCTGGTGGGCTGAGCTGGCCACACACACACACACACACACACACACACACACACATAAATAAATAAAATTTAAAAAAAAAAAGGCAAAAATATGGCATCACTAGCTTGCCGCACATACCATGTCTAGTAACTCCTTTTTTAGCATGCTTGAAAGTTATGCCAGAGTCATTTTGCTTGGAGTCCAGTTGACCTAAAGCAACAGAGTTGCGTGTACTCTAAGCAAAGATTTATCAGGCAACACGTAGGAATGGGAGAGACCAGGATATGTCCTGGGCCCTCAAGAGCAGGAGGCTGGGGGCTGAGTGAGTCGTCTGTCAGAGCCTGCTGCTGCTGCTGCTGCAGGTTAGTAGTGCACTCCCTGGTGACGGCTGGGACAAAGGTGAGATGGTGCCCCAGAAGCTGCTGGAAGAACTCGGAGGAGAAAGGCTGAGCAAGAACATGGTGGAGCCTTATGGAATGTAGTGAAGTTGTGCCAAGGAGTAGTTCTGTTACCCGCAAAGCAGATATTTTATATCCTCTAAAATTCATATGTAACTTTACCATCTTTTTTTTTTTTTTTTTTGGTACCAGGAATCAAATTCACTGCTCTAGTTTGCCAGATAGGCATTGTGCCACTGAGCTTTGCCCCCAGCCCCTTTATAACAGTTGTATGAGCTGGATAATATGATCAGTTACATGGAAAGGAATAAATAGGAGCATTTACTTTGTGTTTTTTGTTTTTATAAAACCTATAAATAGCCAGGTGTGGTGGCACATGCCTGTAATTCCAGCACTTGGGAGGCTGAGGCGGAAAGATCATTGTGAGTTTGAGACCAGCCTGGGCTACACAGTGAGCTCAAGGCCAGCCTGAACTGCATAGCAAGACCCTGTCCCAGAAAGAGAAGAGGAAAAAAAAAACCCAAAAAACAACCTTACATATATTTATAATTATATATGACAGTGTAGCAATATATTTCCTAATATTCCCTCATGTATAGTTTAATACTTAGAAAGTGGACATGTTTATACAGAAAGTGTATAAGAAAAATGTCTTACACTCCTGAGGCAGTGTTTGTCTTACTTGTAAGTTAGAAGACTAGGCAGAGGTTTTGAGAGCCTGGAAGTTGTTTGGAGAAATTAATGAACTTGTTACTAATTTTTTAAGTGTACTTAGGACAGGTTCTACAGGGTCTCACTATGTAGGTCAGACTCGTAGTGATTCTCCTGTTTATAGCCTCCCAGGAGCTGGGATTACAGGTGTGCGCCACTATGCCTAGTCTCAGATCACCAGCTCAGTACACCCCAGGGGCCGGCATGGCAGGCCCGGAGAGCAAACCCCGGGCCCCTGTGTGTGCCTAAGCAGTTGCTTAAATCTGATGAACTAAATCTGACCTGCCCTTGGACTTACTATTTTCCATTCAGTTATTTTGAAGAGGCAGATGCACCTCTTGCTGTATTTAAATTAGGAGTGAGATGTACTCTTCAAGGCCCTGTCCATCCATGTTAGACTATGGTCTTGTACCTGCATTATTGCGGCCCCTTCTCCCTGGCTGCCTGCTCCAGCTTCAGAGCAGGCTTCTCTCTGTAGTGCCTCAGCCTGGCGTCTGCCACGAATCTAAAGTCTGTCTCTGCCACGTTTTCAAAGTACTCTGTGAAGTTTGTCCATCATGACTGTAATGATGAAAGATGGTTCATAAGAATCATACTTCAAAATATACATCTATTAAGGGCCTGTGGTATAGCTCAGCAGACTAAGCGCTTGCTTAGGTTTGATCCATGGCCCCGCCCCCAGGCGGGCTGAGCTGGCGATGGAGTCCGGGTGTGGTGGCGCACACCTGTAATTCCAGCACTAGGGAGGCAGAAATCAGGAGGATCACTGCGAACCCAATCTGTATAGTGAGACCCTGCGCACACACAAAAACCTCTCAAAATATACATCTATTAACTTTTGCTGTACTAAAGCTGTATATCTAAAGCTGTATACTTTAGAAAGAAGAGGTTTATGTACCTTTCAGTTTTGGAGACTGGAAATCCATTTGGTCTCTGCTAAGTACCTCCTGGTTTGGTCAAAATGGCAGAGCACATGTAGAGGGTCCCCTATGGAAGGGCTGCCTTTATAACAACCCCCTCACAAGAACTGAGTGCACCAGACCAGCCTTCACCCCTTCCTGGGACAGTGACCCAGGGATCTGATTATCTTCCTCTAGCTTCAGCTGTGAAGGGTTTCACCACTTCAGCACTATCTCTCCCCCCCCTTTCTCTCTTATCTCCCTCTCCCTCACCCTAGAAAACAAAAGCTAAGAGAACTGACAAAAGAAATAAACATATTCACAGGTACAGCCAACATTCCTTTCTTTGTAGTCTGTAGAGCCAGTTTAACAAAGGTATAGAAGAGCTGAGCAACACTGTCAACGGACTTACCTAAGTGACAATTATGGGAGACCTGCACAGATGTGTGGAATATGTATTCTTTCCAAGTGCACATGGAACATTCACAAGATTATCATATCCTGGTTTATAAAACAAACCTTATGAATCCATAGGTCAAGTAAAACTCAGAGTTAAATACATTCCTCATTTGACAGTCCTACCACAAGGTCATTAAGTGAGTTGTTTGCTAATTGAGGAACTGTATATAGTGTGTACATTGCAATGTTCAGAACAATGAAATGGTCAACGGAACACCAACTTGATGACTTTGCTTTCATTTGCATAACTTCCATGCAGTGCTACAATGTATGACAATATAGAGCTATAGTATGGTAAATTCAGCAGTAATTACTGCACTGTATTGTAGAAGAAGCCACCATAAGGCCATGCTGCCACCCCTGCTCTTGTGTCATAAATCCAAGCAATGGGCCATGAGTCCGAATGGTACAACTTGACTATAAATCCAAACAGTCGTTAAACTGGTAGGGAAAAATTGAAAAAAAATCATAAATGTAACTAAAGCAGGTTCTAAAGGAAATTCTATTGTATTAAGTTTTAAAAAATGTCTTCTGGGCATGGCACATGCCTGTAATCCCAGCACTGGGGAGGCTGAGGCATGAGGATTTCCATGAGTTCCAGGCCAGCTTGAGCTGCATAGTTCAGGGCTAGGCTGAACTACCTAGCAAGACCCTGTCTCAAAGAGCAAAACAAAACAAGAACGAGAAAAAAAAACAAAAAAACAAACCAGTAATCTAAAGTTAGAAAGTAGAGTAAGTACAGCAAAGTAAATCCAGTGCAGGAGGAAGAAAACAATAATAGGAAACAATGGAATTGAAAATAAATAAAATCAGAGGAACTAAATATAAACATTAATAAGATTGATAAATCCCCAGGCAGAGTAATGAAATAAAGGGAGAAGACACAATACCAATATCAGTATCAAAAGAGGGGTCTTTCAAAGAACTGAAGAAATTTATGACCACCAGGTCTGCTTACAGAATGCTCTGAAAGATGTATTAAAGATAAGAGAACAAATGTGAACACCTATAGATGCCATTAGACAGGGCAAGCAGTTAAACAGGAAAAAGATGGAACAAACGACATAAAAAAAGCCAATACATACCAACTGTGGTCATCAACATCAATGGCCTCAACTCATACAGAGAGGATCAAGAAGCAAGATCCAACAACACTGCATTCAAGAAACATTTAATCCGAAAAGAAAAGTCATAGACTAAAAGTCAGATGACAGAAAACTGTTCTACACACCAGAGGAACCCAGAAAAAAGCAGTGGGAACAATTGTTTGCAGACAATGCACACTTTAAAACAGCTGATCAAAAGAGAGAAAGAAGGTCACTACATCCCTTGTTAAGGGGAAACCTCCAAGAAGAGAACAATCACAAATATGCACCAAAAGTAGGCCCACCCAATTGCATTAAACAAATATTAACTGACATGAAAAATTAAATAAGCACTAACAGTTGTAGTGGGGGACTCTAATACCCCATTCTCACAAATCAAATACACAAAAAATGAAAGAAAGAATAGAACTAAACCAAGCCTGTGAGCAAATGGACTTGTTATGTGTCTACAGTGTTCCACCTCAAAACATCAGAATACGTATTCTTAGCTGTGCATGGAATGTTCTCCAAAATACACCGTATATTAGCTAACAAAATATGCTTCAGTAAATGTAGAGGAATTGAAATTATCCTGAGCATACTCTCTGATCATAGCACAATGAAACTGGAAGTCAACAGCAAAGGAAATCACAGAACTCCATAAACACATGGAAATACATTAACACCCTTCTGAGCAACCAATGGGTCACGGGAAATTAAAGATGAAATTAAATAGTGTATACATTCTATAATGCCGATACAAAGTACCAAAACTTATGGAATGCAATGAAACCAGTCCTACC